GGGGCTGGAAATGGTTGTGCGACTCCACAAAAAAAGGCCATGTTGTAGCTTTAGCTCCGCCCTCCGTGTCCCACCTCCGTCGTCCTGAGCCGAGCGATTCAAATAAGATGAATTTTTTTTTTAAAATGCCTTATTTCTCTCGTCTCCTTGTCGTCTACCAAAGCGTCCGGTTGTAGTTCCTAAAAGGACGATTGCTCGATTGCTGCTCGTTCCGCCCGCTAACGCCAGATGAAGCCCAGATCTGCTCCTCTGTTGTTTCTGTCCACTTAGACTTTTTGTTCAAATGTGTATTTTTTTTTGCCCCACAATAAAGAATGACTTTATATTTCCACACATGTAGCTCGTTGGCTCCCCGGAATAACGAGCCGCAACCTTCTGATGCACAAAAAAAAGGGTTTGTTGCTTAAACTTTTAGTCTTCAGTTCTTTTTCTGTTGGTTATTTTATTGTCTTTGGTCCGACGCAACAACAAAACAACCAACTAAGTTTTTTAAAAATAAAACAGGAAGAGAAAATCCTCCATGACTCAAGCAAATCTCTCCAATATTTGTTCTGTAAAATAAATGTTTTGTTCAAGTTTATCATCCACAGCATCGTTTGATTAAGAAGGCTTTTGTGTAGAAAATTCCATTTTTAAATGCAAATTTTAAAAACAAACACAAAAAAGAACAATCTGTGACACCTGTAAACAATTAGCTAATTAAATGTGTATAGGAGAAGAAAAACTATGCAATCCATTGTTGTAAAGCATATATATTGCTAAAAAAAAAGAAAAAAAAGAAGTGTATTTCCAAAGTACACAAGCCAAATAAAGTGTAAAGCTTGAGCAGATTTATTGGTCAGGTTTACATCAAACACAACAACAGTCAAAACAACACGTCAGTTTGCCAGTTTTCCCAGAATCCATCTTGAATCGGGTCCCTTTTTCCCCGGTTTCGTCTCGGGTTTATCATCCAATGCTGACAGAAGTTAAGAGTTGCGTAATCAATTTGAATAAATTTGAATAAATATAAATAAGTCGATGAGCCTGAACTCATTAAAAAAAAAAAAATCTCACCCAGTTACATTTTTCTGGGTAAATCTCCTTTAACTTCACTAATAATTTAAACATTATTTTTAATCCAATTTTGCCGTTTTGCAACCAAAAATGCTGCATCAGCTTTGGGTTTTCAGCCCAAAGGCGTCTTTTTTCTGATTCCAACAGGAAACATTGAATTAAAGACTTCTAATCTCCTTCTGAATTTGGTTTTAATGTTTTAATGAAAAGGGGTAACCCCAGAGAGGAAACGGCTTCTTTTGGCTTTGGTCCCCAAAGACGCACAACTCTCTCATAAAGCACATTTTAAAGAATAAAAACTGGAAATCTAGGCTTTTTTGTTCTCTCTGATGGAATCGATCGAATATATTTGTTCAGTTAATTTTGAGGCTAGCTAAAGAAAAAACAACTGCGTCTGCATGGCCTTTCGCTATTATCTTGTGTTTAAATTCAGATAACCAGAGTGTGAACCAGGTTTGTGAGACAGAAAGTTAAAGAATTATGGAAAAAAGTTGTGAATGATGATAAAAGCTGTTCACAAAAAGCATGTTTGGTAGGAATTGCTATTCAGTGGAAGAGGGCATCTTTAGCTGATGTCCGATGCTAACTCCTGACCGTTAGCTAATGTTTTGTACCAGAAAAAGAGGCAATTTTCAGATTTTATGTGAATAAACTCCACTTATTGCTGCTTTGAAATCACAAAACGGTGTAAAAGTAAAAGAAAACACCCCACTTAACACGGTGAATATGACTTTAAAGAACTGCATTTGAAAAATGTCGAAGCCTATTACACATTAGCACATAGCTAGCTAACGAATATTCAATTAAATATAATATAACTGTACGGGAACCAAATTAGCTACATTCATATTTGTGCGTTCAGCATAAACTGGTTTTATTTTTCACTCTGACTTTAACATCTCACGTCATTTTGTTGTAGAAATCCACTCACAACATAACAGTTAGCAATAAAATCACCCCTCTACGTAGCATTACTCACACAGCCTACAGCCTCCTCTTAAGGACAAAAAAGGTACACACAATTACAAAAATAGCCTTCCACAAACGTTAATAGTAATAGAAAAATAGTTATAACCTCATACAATAAATATGGTTTTAATAACCAAGGTTTTTTTTTTTAGCAGAATACCCACAAAGATTTCTTTAAAAGGAGCAAACACCAGCACACAGTGCCAAACAAGAAGGATAAAAACACCTAATTTCAAGACTGTATAAAAGCTGCATTAACAAGGCTAAACTTGTTGATCAGGTATGTTCCTTTTTTTTACATTTTGTAGGCCTGGAGGTGAATGCTATTCCTGTAAAATAGTAGTTACTCATGAGGGATTATGTGACTCTGTGAGTTATGGCTTAAGGCATGTTCTCATTTCGAGTGGGTCGTAATTCCAACAAGCGAAAAAGCAGCCAAACCGTCGACAGCATTTACCCAAATAACTCGATTCTGTCGCTCCCACTTAAGGCAAAAAGACGTTCATCATTTCGAACATGAATTAATTCCACAGTTTCAGATCACAGTAGAGAAAGTGGCTGTTCCTAAAAAGGCTTCACGTTCTCTCACACCAAAGTCTGCCAAAAAAAATACCTCAACTCGGCCACTTTTCCTTACACATTCTCATATATAAAACAATTATCTCTTTAAAAGAAGTTCATAGGATACAATTTGTATCAACAACCAAATGAGGGGTCATCCGGTCACTACAAATTATTTCAACCAGGCAAATCCTCGGGTATTAAAACAACCTGGAGATCCTGATAAAAAACTAGATTATTATCATTTTATTCAACAAGTCCAGCCGGAAGTCTTTGAACAAAACTCGAAAACAGTTTCAAAGTTGAGTTAAAACGTCAAAGTGAGACCTTTAAATGGCCATCCAGATTTTGCCCGACGACTTCCTGGACGGAGTTACTGGACAGAGTTTTTCTCTTGCTTTTTCTGTCTCCGGTTGAACAAAATGGAGGAAAAGAGCAGAAAAACAACCCTGTTTTTGCTTTTTCTGCTTAAGAATACTGTCGTTCAAGCCCCTTTTTTTTTTTTTTTCCGGTGGGGACTCTTTTCAAACGCGGAACGGTTTGGATTTTTTCCTCTGACCTTTTCCCCTCCTGGCCACCGGGGGCGCTCTCACCCCGTGGACAACGTGATGAGATCAGTGGTGGGAAAGTTTGAATGATCTTGGGTTATTACCCGGGACTTATACCACACCTCGGCCTCGGAAAACCTACACATTCACACACTTTAAAGTAATAAATTAACACATTCAAATTAAAAAAATTAATAATAACCAACCAATATCGACAGCAAACATTTCCGCCCATCTCTTGTGGGATTTAGAATATT